TTATTATGGTGTATAAAAATTTAGATCAATTATGTAAAATTTCGCTGAAAAGCCTTTTAAGGTTACAGAACACCTTTGAGTGTTAATTTTGCCTAAAATTTTTTTATTGGTTTCCATGAAAGCATTAGACTAGTTCTACTATCTGACCAAGTTTGAACGGAAAATGTTGAAAACTCGCAGAGTTATTTAATAAAAACATTGAAAATGTAATATTCAAATTCAATTTTCTCCCGAAAAATTTTACGGTAATTACTGATTTTCAAACGAGTTATGCTCCTGCGGGTTTTAACCAATTTTTCTCAAATTTTCACAGGGCATAGCTAAAGACGTCAGTTTCAAAATCGTGTTCGGCTTTTTTTTAATTTTGAATATTTTAAAAATAAAGAGCAATTTACTAAAACAATTCAGAAATATATTGCAGTCGTCAAAGAAATCGCCATATCAGCGGAATGACAAAATAAACAAAAATTTCCGAACACGATTTTTTAGAACAACTATTTTACTGTATAAAAATTATATTTTCATAAATATAACTTAAAACCAGCAGGAACGTAACTCAAAAGCGTAACGGTACCGCGATTTAAGATTTTCCTGAATAATTCTTACATTATTTTATTGTTTGTTAATTTTACAACTTTACCATATTTTGCATGCACTGGAGAACATTTGGTGAAAATTTGATGAAAATCGGACTGATATTGAGCGCGCAGTAGCGATTTTCCGCCAAAAAAGGTGTCCTGTAACCTTAAGGGATGTGAAATTAAAATACAATAACAATAACAATAACATGTTGAATAATTTCAGTCACGACTGAACATTAGTTTGACTAATGGTTCAGTCACGACTGAACATTAGTTTGACTAATGGTCGAGGGTAATGGTCGAGGCGAGGGTAGAATGTCGAGGGTCGAAAAAAATGTCGAGGGTCGAAAAAAATGTCGAGGGTCAATTTTTTGACTCTATATTAAAATTTGTTCGCAAATTTTTAGCAACAGAATCAAATACGTACCATTACACATACGTATCACAATTAACTTGCTTTAGCCCAACGTCAATGTTTTAGCCCTATTATGGAATTTGCCATGGCGCAGAGTAAGTATGCTTCGCTATTGAATGCAAAGTTTAGTTTGAACAAACAGATATAGACGGCCAGCCAACCTCAATAAAAGTGTCTCTAAAATGTCATTGATGGCATTTTTTGTTACAAGCTGGCAACTGGCGTTTTCGTAAAGCTTAGGCACTGGAGAACAACGTTTGATAGGTTGCCACCTCTGATATTGACTTTAAAGTGAAAAATTTTGAGAATATGAAAATTTTGCCTATTAAAATTGCTATACTCACTAAACTGTGAAATTTTAAACCAACTTTCAGCAAAAATCACCTATATAATCAGAAAGTTCGGAAAAAATTAGATATAGAACATTTAAGTGACAACTCTGAATTTATAACCCTGTTTTGAGTTACGGGCGCTTAAAGTTGCTAAAAAACAGGTTTGTGACGTCATTCACCGCATTTTACCTATTTTTAAGTGTTCATAACTCGAATTTGGCTAAATAAATCGCATTACTCGTTTAAATGTCTTATATGTACTTTTTTATGCTCTTTCTAACGATATAAACGATGTTAATTTAAGTGAACTTCAAATTTCACATTTTTGGGAGAGTATAATAATTTAATAGGCAAATTTTTCAAATGCTTAAAATTTTCTATTCGTTTGTTAAAATCAGAGGTGGCAACATATCAAACGTGACTCACCAGTGTCTAAGCTATAAGAAAACGCTTGTTGTTTGCTTGTAACAAAAAATGCCATCGACAGTCATATTTTGATCGGCTGGCTGGCCGTCTAATATGTTTTATACACCGATGTATACTAACGAATAAACCCTATTTTGATCATTGCAGTCAAACGTCGCCGCTTCACATGCCATTTGATAAACATAACATAACCCTTTGCGACCTTTGTGCACTCATGATTTCAGCAATCATTACGATTCTAAAAGCGCGATATATAGTACTGTAGCTATGTTCCCGCATGGTCTAGAAACCCACTAGTAATGTCATATAAAATAATTTGTAAAGCCGTGATTTTCTAACTATCAATATTTTCTGTATCGTGGTAAACGTTGACCGACGGCCAATTCAGTCTTATGTGCATGCCTATGGTAGCGAACATTTTTTGCACAGATGATTTTACAACTCGTCTGAAATATATATGCAACTGGGGCTTCCCGAGTTAACAGCGAGGCTTACAGTCACATTTTTATCACATCATCAAACTAAATCTTAGGATCAAAGAAAATTGCTATACTTACATCATAACGGTTATTCTACAAGTACTCAAACACTATATTCTGCACAGTCCTACTCCTGGAAGACAGCCCCAACTGAAAGCCATGCAGCAGCCGAATAAAAACATAGCCCATCGCCGGGAGGATTATACGAAATCTTTATAGAATTATAGCCCAGTCTTTTCTATTCTGCTCTGAAGTACTTCCATTTCACACAAGTTGTATACCTTACAGCAATGTGGCAACTGAAGACGTTTTCAAGAGAAAACTCGTCTGCACATGTATATGCGTTAACCATGCAAAGTTTAGTCGCAAGTAAGGTTCGAATGACAATTTCTCGCAAGTTTTGATCCAGAACTGAAATCAAATCCTGACATCCGGGGTGACACTTCGACGTGTCAGCGTTATTTTTCATTTTGCTGCGAATTTGTTGCGCCGATGAGGCATAACTAACCCGAGGAAAATATCACTATTAATTAATGTTAAAATATTCCCCCGGTTTTATATTGCCCAGCCATGCATGGGATAATACTTGTATTCAAATTCGCGCAGTGATCAAATTCACTCGATAGGAGCCATAGGCGCAAGAAATTACAACATGAGCGGAAAATAATCTGTGCGAAAAATACTGATAGTTAGAAAATCACTTTACAAATTATTTTATACGACATTAGTGTTTATAGTCGTGGGTTTCTAGATCATGCAGGAAAGTCATAGCTACAGAACTATAATAGAGTCTATATATCGTTTTTGTGGATCGTAATGATTGCTGAAATCATGAATGCACAAACTGAAAAGTCACAAAGGTGCCTTTTGACTGCAGCGATCGAAATTTGATCAGTTAACTTCATAATGATCAAAACAGGGTTTATTCGTCTAAAGTATACATAGGTGTATAAAACATATCTGTTTGTTCAAATTAAACTTTGCGTTTAATAGCGAAGCATACTTCAGGCTCTGCGCCATGGCAAATTCCATAATTGGGCTAAAACATTGACGTTGGGCTAAAGCAAGTTAATTAATTGTGATACATATGTGTAATGGTAAGTATTTGATTCTGTTACTAAAAATTTGCGAACAACTTATAGAGTCAAAAAATTGACCCTCGACATTTTTTTCGACCCTTGACATTCTACCCTCGCCCTATTACCCTCGACCATTAGTCAAACTCGTAGATTGAATAGGCCTAGCATGCGTAATAAAACATAAGACAAAAGGAAAATAATTATGAGGAATATTCATATGTTGCTACTCAAGTATCACATTCCTCATTAATTATTTCCCTTTTGTCTTATGTTTTATTACGCATGCCTATTCGATCTACAATGAAAGGTGATAGCTTTTCGAGCGCGCACCCTTGGGGGAAATGTTCATTCGTGACTGAAATTATTCATCATGTTGAATATTCGGTGCTGATGGCACGCATGGCTGAAATCGCTCAAAACGCAACCGCACACTGAGGAACTTGCTTACGCCAACAGTCACGAGTGACGCTCAGCTCAGCTGATTGCTCCAGTGCGCGCCGGTGTCACAGGAAACCCCCCCCCCC